TCTTCATTTTAGTTATTCCTCCCCTGATCAAAGCTCCCTTCAATTCAATCCCTGACTGGGTAGGATTACCATGCGGGATATAGAATAAAGATTAAATAAATTTGTAGATTAACAGACATATAAGAGTTCCCCGTTCAAAAGTCAGAACTTTTGTCAAGTGAATCTCGGAGTAAGACGTTAATATCCATCTTATATACAACCAATGGGTAATTTCTATTCATTTTCTATGTTGATAATACCCTGCAGGGATAACTTCAATTGAGGGATCAACCACCTTTTTTCAAATATACAGGTTTTTCCCGGTTTTGAATATTTAGCTCGTCGATTTCTGTGAGTTAAATATTTAGCTTTTAACTTGAAGATAAGGTTTAAATTAGATTACAAGCGGCATTTAAGCTGAAACTTAACATTTAACTGGTAACTTCGTTCTTTTGGACTCTGGATATTCACGGTGATCCACCAAAAAATCCAAACTTTAGGATAAATTTTATATATAAGACTTAAATTTTGCAATCTTATAACATTCCGTTACAGAAAAAAATCAAATCTCAAAATATCAGGATTTATTGGAGTATTTTGTTATTTAAAATTAAAGTTCAATTTATTATTATAGCGAAAATTTAATAAAGGATTTTAACAACAAAGAAAAAAAATAAGGACCCGTCTACTAAAAACTACTTCAGTATAAAATTTAACAGGTTCAATATAATATCCCTTATCACTATAGGTTATTTCATCCACCATTTTTTCTTGGATCTGAAAAGCAAAATCCATATCTCCGGTCTCCGAACGGAGACATTGAAGATTTGATCTCATATCCTGTTCCTAGAGCATCAGATGAGTATACATGCAAAAGTAGAACCGGCTAGCACCATTATTTACTGAGATATTGAAAAATGTCATTGATGCAACGCCTCCTTTTCTGATGCATTTTTAGATTATTAGACTAAACTTAATTCATGTTTTCTTTGAAGGGAATTATTTTTAATCTAAAAGAAAATTTGCACACATATTTGGTTAAATTGTTATGGAGTAGGTATTTGATTCAAAACTTTACTATTTGTCCAGACAATTATCTGACATATTTTGTAAATATTTATAGCTAGTCTTATTTTAGATTTCTCAATAGGAAATACATATTTGGTTCTGAATATATATATGTTACAAGGAAAATGGCTTGGGGAGGGGGGGTACCTCCCCTCCCCAATAGATTTTGGCATTGCACCCTTACCATGAAACTTCTTGGCTATTAAGAAGTCAGGGAACGTGAACGGTTGAAAGACCGATGGTGTTATTAAAAATCTTAATTAACCTATAATTATTTATAATAGCTGAAGTACTCGGCTCGGTTTAAAAAAAAAAAAAATTTTTTTGCCTTGTTAACCCCGGGATACCCATTAGCGAATCCCTCAAAAAATATTGTACATTTTTTTTAACTCAGTGTTAGGGGTGCTGTTTAGTCAAAACTTGCTTACTTCTGTGCTTAAACATTTAGTGGTAAATCTTTAGTAAACTATTAAAATACTCAATTGATTGCAGTGATGTATAAATAAAAACTACAGATGTGAATTTTTACCAAAAATCCATGTCATTAAAACCCCTACCTTCTATTCCTAACCACATCATTTGTATATAAAGATGAGTTTGCCTTGAAAACTTAGTCTAAGAGTAATTAATGAAAATCCATACTTTTACCAATCCCTTTTCCAGGGAGAGGGGGGGGGTCGTAGGGTTAGGGACAACCTCCCAGTTTTTTTATTGAGTTACCTTGAACCCTGGGAACAATTTGCTTGCTCCGGCTCCTTCAGTGGCTAAAGCTCCAAATGTGCCTGAGGAAGAAACTATTAAGTATCCCTGAGGTACTTGAGGCTAGAAAACCATTGGTCAATTTCTTATTCATTTAACCATAGATACAACTATAGGTCGTATCTATCTATCTACAGTGTATCTAAAGTGTAATCATAGTATATGGTTCTACCAATGGAAGAGCGTCTAAGAAATTGGCCACATATGGACGTGAACGAAAATGGAGAAGATATCACGGTTTTACTAAGTGTATAACTGTTAAATCTGTCTATTATGAAGCGTCTGCAATTTCAGGGGCTACAGAAACCCACCCCTCAAACAGATCCCGTTTGTATACATACACATTACACAAACAGGATCTGCTGTTAAATTCAGACAATGTCCTGCTTCGTCTCTGCTGAATAAATAATTTCTAGGATGCCATTGTGAATCGTATAGATACTTCTTTAAATTATTCATCTCAAAGAATCCGGGGAAATGCATAATAAAGTTGCACACTCTCGATGCGCTCCAATTTAAGGATTGAATCCGCATATGACGTCACTGATTATAGAGGCGAGAGTGACGTCATTTGCGGATTCAATTAATCAATGCTAAGGAGACGACATTTTCCGCACATTTTTGACCGCATCGAGAGTTTAAGTAACCTTATTATACATCCTTGGCTAGAATGGTTTCGATAAATTTATGAAAATGAAAAAAAATCATGAACTGAGCCTTTAATACTGAATTTCAATATATTGGTGAGTTACCTGAGGCTAGAAGACCATGTGGATGTGAACCGAATATATAATTCTTACTAGGATCCAACTCTACAGTTTTTATCAATCTAAAGAACATTTTTTTTTTTTAAATTAACAATGAAAATATTAGAAAACCCGGAAAATATACAAGATATTTTGTGCTTAGCACAAATTAAATGTGTAATGCGTATTGTACACTGTATCAGTCACTAAGTACATGTGTATTATACACGGTATCTGTCACTGAGTACATGTGTATTGTTTACTGTATCGGTCACTAAGTACATGTGTATTGTTTACTGTATCAGTCACTAAGTACAAAGCAATTAGTATTTTAACATTTAACATGTACAATATGGTTCATTGCTCATTGGACAATGTTCATTATTAACAGGTTAGAAGTGTTAAGTCATTGGTCATTTCTCACTACTCATTTGTCATAACTCATTTGTCATAACTCGTACCATATCTCATTTGTCATAACTCATTTGTCAAAACTCATTTGTCATAACTCATTTGTCATAACTCATTTGTCATATCTCATTTGTCATAACTTATTTTTCAAACTCATTTGTCATAACTCATTTGTCATAACTCATTTGTCAGATCTCATATGTCATAACTCATTTGTCAAAACTCATTTGTCATAACCATTTGTCATAACTCATTTGTCATAACTCATTTGTCATAACTCATTTGTCAAAACTCATTTGTCAAAACTCATTTTTCATAACTCATTTGTCATAACTTATTTGTCATAACTCATTTGGCATTGCTCATTTATCATTACTCATTACTCATTGCTCATTTTTTTCATTACTTATTTGTCATTGCTCATTTGTCATTGCTCAATTTTCATTACTTATTTGTCATTGCCCATTTGTCCTTACTCACCTGATTGGGAAATAGTTAACGTAATGTCTCCACAAAGACCAGTTTCTCACCCAATCCTTGATCCAATCTAAGAAACAAATTAAAAGAGAGCTATTGATGCAACAGCTTTGTAATTCTTTACTGGACATTTTACTTGTTTTTGCTGTGATTTAGGTTAGTTTTGGAACAAACCTTGATTTGTTTTTTATAAACTTTTCAAAATTATTTATTCCAAATATTTACTTTTCTCAAACTGCTTGAAACTTTGACCTTAAGCAAACACTATATGCAGACAATGAACTGCAATGATTGATTAGTTACCGGTTGAGTTGACATATTATATTTTCTTCTCGGATAAAAATATTCAAAGTAGTTTAATAAAAGCAAACAACAGAATACAGTTTTGAATTGTTGGAAGTTAACAGTGTTTGTGTTGTTTCTTATAGAAGTGCTAAACCCACAAAATGAACAAAGTTATTTATCAAAACTTTAATTAAGAGGTCGACATTCATTTGAATACAATCCTGAAAACTTTAGAATGAGATATTCTTAATCATGATCGATTAATCTGATTATCCAATGTACACACTTTCGATTTTCTTCTTAGAATCCTCTATTTGGATATATCTAATGTATAAAAGTTACGCTTGATAACAATTACAGATGCAATTCTATATCGATTGGACTAATATCCGATTGAATTAAAGTCAGCTGTTCACAAGCCGGCTTTTAGAGCATTTAAACAAATATAAATTTAATCATGAAATTATTAAACAACAAATTTTAGGACTATTGTCATTTTGAACGTTAGTTCTTAATAAACATTTATTCATTACTAACGTTCGTTCAATCGATATTTAGTTCAATTGGTATGACACCATCAACACCAGAAATCAAAACCGGTTTTTCAAAAGTTAACGAGTACATCTTAACATGACGCGCTGATTGGTTAAATTTTTAACTTCTTTCTTAAATATCGAATACGTTTTAAAATAATCTTGGGTTTAGTAAAACCAAGAGTTTAAGCGTTAATCTTAATATCCACGTCGTCGTCAATCTAAAGTTTTCAGCTCAGCTGCTGTATTTTATAAGATTGATATCAATTACAATTAATATATATATAAATATATAAATATAAAAGTGTATATATATATATATATTTACGCAAAATTTTGAAAGGGAACGTGCAAGCTGTATCTATGAGGAAATATTTATCGTCAATAATATTACCTGATCTCCCTCCTTGCTCCTGACATTTCCGATCCACTAATAAAGAAAACATTTTTTGAAAATGGAGTGATTTGGCTAAGTTTGTTCCTCTTTTAAAAAGTAAGAGAGGTCAGGAGATGTGAACTGTGCACATTTTTAAATTTTTGATTGCTTCAAACATGATCATATTTTTACATGTCTCAGAAGTTATGAATAGTTTAACAAACTTCTGTGTACGCCCCTGCACCTACCTATCATCCAGGTAAAATAAGCTAAGGCTATCCACCACCAGCTGGTGAACAGAGTCATGTATCCAAGAACCAGTGTGGATACAGTTCCCAGGAGAATAGCCATGCCAAACCATATAACCACTGATAACGTCTGAATTCTTCTTTCTAAACAGTACAGACGGTTTCAAATATACATACTCAGATCGTAGCACAAGTCAGATGAGCGTATGCATTCTCAGTCACACCAGTTCTAGACAGAATGCAGAGTAGCGCTAGATTTACATATTTAGAATTTTATAGCGTTGGTTAGAATGCATAAACCCTTGACTGACTGCAGTGCTCCAAGTTTAATTAAACAGTGCAGTGCAGAATCAAAATATGCACTTTCTAAATTCTAATGTAGTCCTAAAATACTCAGGATCAGGAAGGCCCACAAACAAAATATGAGCCAGTTAGTAAGGTAGAATTCAAAGACCAAGGTGTTGCGGTACTTCTAAGTCATGATAGGTTATAATTTGAATAACTCTGTTTGGATCTGGTAACATGGTTGGATCAGTATTCAGTCATGAGCTAAGCTGAAATAAACGAATTGTTAAACTCTTATCATGCAAGGTTAGAATGAACCCATAAATTTAGTTCACAATATTGTACTGTCCAAACGTATTTTGACATTGCAAAAACTTTGTTCCAAATTATGTACAAGAGTTTCCAATGTTAGAATTTATTTATAATTTCAAAATATTTACGGTTATTCCTTTTTTTAAACTGTACAGAATAATATTTAAAGATTTTTAAATTAATTAGTTTCAACTAAAGGTACTAAAATTTACCTTACATTTACTAGAATTAACCTAAATGTACTAGAATTTAAGGTATTGGAATTTAATTAAAGGTACTAAAATTTACATAAAGTATTAAATTTTACCTAATCACTAAAATTTACCTAAAATTAATAGAATGTACATGTGCTAAAATTTATCTAAAGGTACTATAATTTATCTAGAAGTACTAGAATTTATCTAAAGGTACTAGAATTTACCTAAGAGTGCTAGAATTTATCTAAAGGTACTAGAATTTACCTACGGGTACTAGAATTTATCTATAAATACTAGAATTTACCTGAGGGTACTAGAATTTACCTAATAGTATTAGAATTTCCCTAAGGGTACTAGAATTTATCTAAAAGTACTAGAATTTACCGAAGGGTACTAGAATTTATCTAAAAATACTAGAATTTACCTGAGGGAACTAGAATTTACCTAATAGTATTAGAATTTCCCTAAGGGTACTAGAATTTATCTAAAAGTATTAGAATTTACCTAAGGGTACTAGAATTTATCTAAAGATACTAGAATTTATCTAGAAGTATTAGAATTTACCTAAGGGTACTAGAATTTATCTAAAGGTACTAGAATTTATCTAGAAGTACTAGAATTTACCTAAAGGTGCTAGAATTTATCTAAAAGTACTAGAATTTACCTGAGGGTACTAGAATTTACCTGAGGGTACTAGAATTTGCCTGAGGGTACTAGAATTTACCTAAGTGTACTAGAATTTACCCAACAGTATTAGAATTTCCCTGAAGGTACTAGAATTTACCTATACTAGAGTTTACCTAATAGTTCTAGAATTTACCTAAGGGTACTAGAAGAGGAGCAAACTCAACTCCAAAAAGTTTCCATGATTTGCACATACTTGTAGATGCCATCTTCAAAAGCTGCTCAGAAGACACAGAATCTTCCTGCTCTAGATTGAAAAAAAAAATATTAAATAAGTAAGTTGAGTATCCATTTAAACTTAATTAAGTCCTCTATAAACTATTATCCAAAAAATGTATGAATCAAGTTCAATAATAGGTAGATGAAGCAGGAACCGAATTTAAAGCAGGAAGATTTTCTGAATTGTACTAAAAGAACCGGATAGAAACTATTCTTCAGTCCCACATACTATCTAGTGGGGTTCACATACACTTTATATTCGGCAATGTTTTTTAATCAATTGGAATGAAATATACAATAATAATAACATCTTAAGTTGTGCTAGTTGTGCTAGTTATTCATTCAGGTACCTTCCCACCTACCAGACTTATGTCTGGTATAAAATCTAATACTAACCTTCTGCTAGAGTCTTCAGAGGTTTTGCTGGATCATGGTCAATCTTACAGATGCCAGAATTCAGGCCAACATCTGAGATCTCCTTAGATTTTTCAAGGTTCAGACCAACATCTGAGATCTCCTTAGATTTTTCAGGGTTCAGACCAATATCTGAGATCTCCTTAGATTTTTCAGGGTTCAGACCAATATCTGAGATCTCGTTAGAGTTTTCGGGATTCAGGTTGATATCTGAGATCTGCTTGGAGTTTTTGGGATTAAGGAGATTATCCGAGATCTGCTTGGAGTTTATTATCAAGGCAGGTTTTGACTTATCGGTCAGTGTAGTTTTTGATTTATCGGTGAAGCAAGCGATTGTGCTACCATTTTTTATGGCAATATTTAGAGTCGCAATGTCGTTCTTTTCCAAATCCTGGTTTAGCTCTTGTTCCAGGCTTAAATCCAGCTTGTGTTCAAGGTCCTGTGTAAGATCCAAATCAAGATTAGGGTCCTGATTAGGATCCTGATCAAGAACTTTGAAACTGCTTGGGCTTCCTTTAACCAGGGTAGAATTCTGATCTGTCAGGATGATATCCCTTATTTCTTGGATATCTTGGTTTGGTTCCTGAACTGGGCTAGGATGTATGAAATCAGAAGAATTCAGACTTATTGTAGTATCATCTATAATAGCTTCTGTAGTTTCTAGATGATCATTGTTAGAGTCTTCACAACTTTTATCTGACATAACACATTAATTTATTTCATTAAGTTACCCTTAAAACCTTAATCTGATCAAAAATGTGGAAGATACTTAAAAAGAGCTAATTTCTTTGAGTCACTCCATTGCTTCTTATAAACAAGCCTTCTTGGGTAAAGATGGGCATCATCTAGGGTAGAGATGAGCATCTTCTAGGGTAGAGATAAGCATCTTCTAGGGTAGAGATGGGCATCTTTTACGGTAGAGATGGGCATCTTCTAGGGTAGAGATGGTCATCTTCTAGGGTAGAGATGGGCATCTTTTACGGTAGAGATGGGCATCTTCTAGGGTAGAGATGGTCATCTTCTAGGGTAGAGATGGGCATCTTTTACGGTAGAGATGGTCATCTTCTAGGGTAGAGAAGGGCATCTTCTACGGTAGAGATTGGCATCTTCTATGGTAGAGATGGGCATCATCTAGGGTAGAGATAAGCATCTTCTAGTGTAGAGATGGGCATCTTCTAGGGTAGAGATGGGCATCTTCTAGGGTAGAGATGGTCGTCTTCTAGGGTAGAGATGGGCATCTTTTATGGTAGAGATGGCCATCTTCTAGGGTAGAGAAGGGCATCTTCTACAGTAGAGATGGGTATCTTCTACGGTAGAGATGGGCATCTTCTACGGTAGAGATGGGCATCTTCTACGGTAGAGATGGGCATCTTCTACGGTAGAGATGGGCAACTTCTACGGTAGAGATGGGCGTCTTCTGTTTATTTCTGTTTAAAACAAACAATAAAAAACAAAAGCTAAAATTGTTCGAAGGAATTATCTGAACTAACAATTTGTTATTCAACCTTTAGAAAAAAATAACAGTTTTTTTGTACTTCCAGAACAATTTTTCGAACATATTACTGAACAACAAATTTACTTAACGATTATTCAGTGATAAAACGAAAGAAATAGATGGAAATTAGCAATAAATTTGAAAACAAAATAAATAAAATTTTCTTGAACAATTATAAAAAGTTGTGTGTAAGTTAAAAAAAGTAATTAGTTTGTTCACAAACGATTAACAAACAAAATGAAAAAGACGAACACGCCCATCTCTATTATAGGGTACCGTTGTAAATGGGGCATTGCCATCTTTACATGGAGGGTCACTTGAAGTTACGTTTAAAGCCCCTTTTAACACATCAAACGAAACTTTTCATCCAAAGACTTAAAGCAAAGACTAAGATTTTAAGAGATACTTGGTGGATGATTTTTCTTATGAACTCTTCTAACACATTTGATTTTAATGAACATGGTTACAATCTGTGCTTATATTATTTTCTAAATTTAAGTTAACATCGATTTTTATTTTTAAGGTTCCCATTACTTTACAGTACAATAAGATATGTGGGCGAGAACTCGAGAATCTTAAATTAAATATCTTCTATGAAAAATTTTACAAGTTTCCTAAAATATTTGTTTATGAAAATACCATGCAAATACCGTAATTTGAGAAATTCACAAACAAAAATTTACCTTTATGTTTTTCCTTTTTTAACCAGATAAAAGGCAAAAAAAAAGATTGGTAAAATTGTTTCTTTATTTTCCTTTTATTTTCGGATAAAATCTATCTATTATTGGCGATTTTCTGATTATCTCTAAAAATCTTCTCATTGATATTTTCGGCACACATTGTAAGACTATAGGAATTATTGAATCTTAATTCTTTTCAGACATTAATGTAAAATCCGGGAAAAAAGTTTATCATAATACTCGAGACTGTAAAAAATATCAAATAAAAAAGTTAAAATCTTTGGGAAAAATTTGAATAAGTGAATTATGTGTTCCTTTTGAAAGTTGTTGTGAAGCACTGCACAAGTTTTCCATCTTACTCTTCTTATCAAGAGTTCAATGGTCACCCTGTAATTATAGATACAAATTATATTCTAATTTAATTAAAGGGACACACAGACATAATTTATATAATGATCCTTCATTCAGAGACTGCACGCATATTATCCCAGTCACGTTCATGTGAGTAACAATGAAGATTCTAAAAACATGTTGAATTCTAAAAATTTACATCAATGTCTCTGAAATATTCTTATTTATCTCTAAAGCGACATTCATCCTTTATCAGACAAAAATTTAAATGTTGTGAATCGGACATGGTGCTAAAGTCACTTGAAATTACGTCTTCAGTTCCTTTAAGAATGTTATAATCATTAATATTTAAAGCTTAGGAAATCACCGAAGAAACTTTTTTTTCGCCGAAAATTTCGGATCTTTTACGAGAAAAATTGGGAAAAAAGAAATGCAAAAATTTCACGAAAAAATGCAAAAATTTCGCAAAAAAAGGGAAATTTTGTGGGAGAAATTAAAGCGAATATATTGTTTTAAAAAATACGGAAAAGAAAATATTAATTATGATTTAATAAAACCTCTCAAAGCAGAAAATTCCATAAATTTTCTGACGCAATTTATTGAACAACACTGAAATGGTATTTTCGTGAAATTTCGCATCGTTTCTGCTTTTTTCGCTTTTATTATTTTCGCGAAAAAATGCGAAATTTCGCGAAAAAGTTTGCAAAATACGAACGAAAACTTTTTACTGCTTTTATGATGCTATAATTATAAAAAATTAACTAAAAGTGCATGGAATAAACTAGGGGCAACAAACCCACCTCCCACTTTTTCAAAGTACAGATGCAAAGTATGATACAGTTTTATTATTAAATGCATGTCTTGCTATGTTAATAATTCAAACTATAGTTTTAAATGACCAAAGTTAGTTAACGAAGATAATCTAATCATCATGTTGACAGATTATGATAACCCATGCTGTAATGTTTGTTCATTTATATTCAAGATAAGGATTGGAGGGGGGGGGGAGGATACATTTTATGTCCCGGAAAATGTATCATTGGTCAAAATAATTAAAAAATTTTGCCAGCACAATTTTAAATATCAAAATATAAATTCGAGAGTTTTCTGAAAAATTTATTTCTTCGTTATCCCATTTTTTTATAAAAGTATACGCAAATCTATAAATATACTGTGCTTCTCTGTCTGTATGTTACTACCCAATAAACGTCAAAACGACTTAATCGATCAGGCTTAAATGACCTCTCCATGACCACGGAAAAGATCTACGGATGCTAAAAATTTAAAAAAGTTGTTTTAAAAATCTTTAATTTTTTTGTAAAATTTTGAAAATCCACGAAAAAATATTATGAAATCTGCGAACTTTTTATTTGTTATTGGTTTATAAAGTTTGAGAAAAAAGTTAGGAAATATCCTCTTTTTCATGATGATTATTTTAAATGCAGCATGACTAACAATAATGAAAGGAAAGCAAATAGCTGAACCACATTATACATGCAAAAAAACACTTGCAACGAGGTTTTTAAGTTTTTCGCTTGAATCTTTAAAAAAGATTAGCACATTTTACTCATTAAAACATTTAATTGCCAATTGGTCAGTGAATAGCATGAGATATATACATTTCTAAACAAGGCTTAGCATAGTCCAAATAAAAAGTTATAAAGAGTCCTTACATGCGTTGCCTTTTCAGAAGAGTTTATCGAGAAGTTTACATTCCAAGTTCCGACCACAACAATTAAACTAATAATAGACAAGTCATTTAAATCATGTGTACTGTAGTGTACAAATGTACTGCACATACTGTACACTGTACACTGCTTGTGTGTACAAAAGTCGGCGAATTTCAAGAAAGATATAAATCAGGAATATCCGTATGTTTGGTTTATACTGATGTGAAATTTCATCCAAGGATCCAAAAACCGCAGTAGATTTTTTGTAAACAAAAAGGGTTTCCAGTTTATTCCCAAGTAACAAAAGTGAGGAATTTCCCCAGATTCTCCAACCGTGGTGACTTTCTTTAAGGAATTTCCTAGGAATTTCTCGAGAATCATTTCCTGTAACTGATTCCTCGGAAATTCTCAAGAAATTCCCCAGAATTGGTCCCCAAGATGAGAGAAATTCCTGAGAATTTCTTGGGAATTTTTCTCAAGGAGTTCCTGAGAATTTCTCAGGAATTTTTCTCAAGAAATTCCTAAGAATTTCTCAGGAATACTTCTCCAGAAATTCCTGAGAAATTCTTATGACTTGGGCACCATGTTTACGGATTTGAAGGGGAATTTAATAAGAGAATTAGTTTCGAGAGATTCCTGGAAATTTCTCCAGAATTTCACCCAAAGACCTTCTGAGAAATTCTCCTGAATGCTTCTCCAGAAATTCCTGAGAAATTCTTTAGACTTGGCCACCAAGTTTACGCATTTTTAGGGGGATGAAATAAGAGAATAAGTTTCAAGAAATTCCTGAGAATTTCTCTGGATTTTTTTCAAGAAATTCCTAAGAATTTCTCAGGAATATTTCTCCGGAAATTCCTGAGAAATTCTCAGGACTTCATCACAGAATTTACAAGTTTCGTTTTTCTTCAATAGGTGTCTCTGAGGTTCTCTTCTATTATGCCCTTCCTTAACTAAATCTTTTTTTCTTTGCATCCTTATTATAGATAAAGAATAATAATTTACTTTAGAAAACTTTTACTTTTAAAAAAATATTTTGAAAATTTTTTTAATTTCTTATTTTTTCTTGACAATTCAGTTGTCTGAATAAACAAAATATACATGACAACTTCAGTAAGATCAAAAACCACTATAACATTCTGACTGAGAAGATGGTTATACTTCTAAACAGTTGGAGGGACAATATAGTTGTTAAGTTATTCACTACTATTGAGCCAAAGTCCTAGTTAGTGAATTTAATCAGAAATATGCTGAGAATATTTCAAAATATTCCTGAGGAACTCTTGAGAAAATCTTGGAAAAAGTTCCCAAGAATTTCCCAAGAATTTCGCTAGAAATTCCCAAGAATTTTTCCCAAATTTTGTCGACATCTTCTCCGGTTTTTCTGCAGTATTGGTAACACGAAATTCCCTGGAATTGGTTACAAGAAATTCCTGGAACTGGTTACAAGAAATTCCTTGGATAGAATTATGAGAATTTCCTCGGAATGGGTTACAAGAAATTCCTCGGACCTGGTTCCTCGGAATATCTGTCGACATTTTCACCAGATTTTCCTGTGAAAGATTTCTGGGATTTTTCGCAAAATTGTCACTTGGGTTCTGGGCAACCGTTTATTGTATTATTACAATTTTATCATTATTTTCATGATGAAACTATTTTTTTAGATTCTTACAAGTTTTTTTATTTTTATACCCTGTAAAACACATCTGAAGTACGCTGTTTACTTCATACTGGGACGGGCCGGGGTGGGGGATGGTGATTAGGGGGAGGTGGTATTTAAGCTTTTGAAAGCTAATCCAATAATTTGTTGTAACAACATCAAATACAATATTTTATTGTTTTGGTGTCGTCTTTCGAATGCAGAGTTTGCTGGTTCTCACTGTAACATATATACAAATGTATATAATAAACCAAAATATAGAACATCACTTTATTCTGTATTGTTTTGCTCTAAATCTTACAATTCCACAATATCAAGGTTTTTAATTGAAAATGTGATGTTTAACGACAAATTATTTTTTTTTTATTGTAGTTCAAATTCACATGTTCAATTTATTTAAAAGTCCCCCCCCCCCTCTCCTCCCTTTGTTGCGTCTTTTAGGTTGCTTAATAATAACTAAGTCTGCAAAAGTAAAGCTTCTGGTGTAGTTAATAGAAAAAGTAAAATTCTGATTTTAGTCAATTCCCTTTCGTAAAAATATGAAGGATGTTTTCTAGCTGAACACTGAATTTCAAAATATGTTACCATCTTATATTCTTTTCTGAAATTTACATTCGTACTCAATAATTCCAGAAGCCTAATTATATATATATATTTCGTATTGTGTAATAGTATACACGTTATCAGTTTACCTTTGGCTTCTACAGTAGACAGATGTGATCAGCTGATTTTTCATTACTAACTACAGAGCGTCCCATAGCATATTAGATTATCTCCAAGTTTCAACGTCAAAATAAACCCATAATACTAGAAAACCCTATCATTTTCCGCAAGAAAATTCTTATATTAACCTTATTCAATTTTTCAAAATGATTCATTCTTCTTAAATTTTCTGATTAGTCCCGAAAATCGTAATTTAGACCGATTGACGATCTAATATGATGTGGGCCACCCTGTATACCTGCTCATTCTGAGATATGTAATGTATATGTTATACAGAGTATACAGAGCGTCCTAAGCTTTAACGCCAAACTAAGCACATAATACTCGAAAAACCTAGTATTTTCTACAAGAAAGCTTTTAAAAAAACCTTTTACGTTTTTTAAAATGATTCATTGTTTTTAAATTTTCTGATTTGTCCCTCAAATCACAATTTTGGGTTATACACGATCTAATATGATTATGTAATTTAAAATGTTTTCCATGCCAAATAGCAATGCCCTAATTACAACGGTACCCTTGAAACCCTGATCTGCTTGATCAGCTCTGCTGAACAAATCCTTTTTTAAAGCCACTGAGAAACCTTTTTCTTTAAAATAACCTTGTTATAATACATCCCTTTTGCAGGCAATAAGGGTAACCATGTGATTACATAAATCAAGCCAATTTTTTTTTACCAATTACATTGCAATCTGTTTTAAAATAAAGTTTATCTAATTCTAAACAGATAATAAATTTAAGCAATTCTAATGTCAAATCACGTAAAAAAACCCAAGTTTTTGGTGATGGAAATGCATAAAAAGTCCTATGATCATTTTAAATTAAAGAAAAGACTGCATTCTATGGCTTCTTATTGAACCCAATTGAGGCGTCGGGTTTTGCGTATAAATCCCAATGCCTACTCTTTATATTACACAGCTCTTTGAATCAAGCTAAAATGATCGAACCCTTAAATCTTAGCAATCTAAATTTATACTTGTACACCTTTTATATAAAAAATTGTAATTGTAAATATTGCTACTTTCGACAGTATAAAAGTTTTAAATAATTGAAGGAACCACCATCACGTTGCAAAGATGTTAGGATTAGAAAATTAGAATTAGAAATTGGATACCATAACAAGATATAAGGCTCGTTATTTCAATTTATTCTTTATAAACCAGTCCAGCAATGCTTTCAACAAATATTAACTTTTTTGGTATTCTAACAAAAGCTTAAAGAGTTTTTGAAATTTGGTCTTAACATTTTGAAGTTTCAGACTTACAATGATTTTACAAGCAGTGGCCATTATCCTTCTCTGTATTTGGTTGTATAAGAAAAATTCAGGTAACGTCTCTCTGCAGTGTTCTAGATAAAATAAAACTGAATTATTTTTACAGCGATAACAGTAAAACTCTGGAATAGAAAGGTGACTTTTAGACTCAAGCTATGACTTAAAATAGTCCAATGAACATAAAACACATCAATTGTGCATGTAAACAGACCAATAAAGAAAATAAATAAGTTACTGGTAAAACTATTTGGTATTTGCTCTGTAACAATATCTATTTCACTTAATTATTGCTTTAATGTCCTTTGCTATTTCACAGACGACAGGTAGGGAAATAAGCTATTATATAGTTTGGTAAATTTTAGGTATTCGGGGCCCTAACTATTAAGTATTTATAAACTATGAGAAACAATAGCAATGTCGAAGGTTAGTTCAAAAAGAAGTAATTTTACTTAAGAACCTTACTTTCGCTTTAGAGGCGGGCCAACTTGACCTATAATTACTCTAATGTTACGGACCGAATAAACATTATTTGTGTCTTGTACACATTTTTAAAATACATTTAATCAGGGGTGTAATTAGGGGGGGGGGTGGTAAAATCTCGCCCTTATATCAAAAGCCATTATTATCTATACATTCTGCTGAATATTTATTACAACTCCGGTTTACAGTATTTTTTATACTTTTCGTATACAAAAATATGTATAAATTCCATATATGAACGAAAACAACGTGTCTGTCCAATTTATATAAAAAAGTTTTAAAAAATAGCATATATTTAAAAATGTTTTAATTCGATTTGTCTCAAGTCAAAATTTACAGACTTTAAACAGATTCAAAATTTCGAAATTTATTATAGACTCGAATTCGATCAGGAATGTTCCTTATACAAAAAATGTATTTTGAAAATGGCAAGAAATCCCCATAACTTTCTGATGGATGCATTGTCAACATTTTCTGTCAGTTCCTTAGAGTTAAATCTAATTTAATCCTTTAAAACTAAATTCCTAGATTTATTTTGGTTCATTTTCTGCCAACTACAGTTTATATTGTTTGCTCAGTGAAGAAGAAATTGTTTTCTTTTTACAAACATACAAACAACACATTTAAACACCTTGAATTTAGGAAAGAAAACATCTATCTTTGATCCACATGATTACTTAAAAAAGTAAAACACTATTCAATCTATTTTATAAAATTCAAAAAAAGACAAATTAAAATTTTTGCGGATTTGTTGGTTTTGATTGTGAGTTTTGAAAATTAAAAATTGTTTTTGCCCGTTGTCGTGCATAGAGAGCTGGCCTCCCCCCTCTGCGTATGTCATAATAATTTCAATACAATTTTAGACTTCAAAACCAATTTTAAAACACTTAAAATAATTTAGTCTTAAAATATATTGCAAAGGGGGCAACGCATTCAAGTTTTTCCCTCGCAAATGTCGTCTTCCTTTTAAATTATCAAGCAATCGTTTTTTCTTCGAGATATAGTAAAGGTGTAGGCTCTTCACACACTATACACCGGGTGTCGGTGAAACCATTCTCTAGGATATTTAAGGTTCCACAACATGTGTTAGTTCTGATAGGTTAGGTTTTTTTCACGTTTATTGAACATAAAAGAAATATATTTTTTTAAGTTGTATGTTTTAGACAGTGTTCCTGGTCCACCAATACTTCCTTTCTGTGGTTCTGCTCCGTTCCTTCTTCTTTTTGATACAAAGATGATATCATATCCTTACAGGTGGGACTTCCCTTTTATATACAGGTTGGACTAGCCTTTTTTATACAGGTTGGATTAGCCTATTAAATACAGGTGGGACTACCCTATAAATACAGGTAGGACTATTCTATTGATATAGGTAGGACTACCCTGTATAGGTGGTACTGCCTTTTTAATACAGTTAGGACTACCCTATTAATACAGGTGGGACTACCCTATGAATACAGGTTGGACTACCCTATTAAATACAAGTGGGACTACCCTATTAATACAAGTGTGACTACCCAATTAATATAGGTGCGACTACCCTATTAATATACAGGTGAGACTACCCTAATAATATACAGGTAGGACTACCCTATTAATACCTGCATTCTGTTCTAAGATACTACTGGGCCTACCATTTACAATAAAACTTATCCTATTAATTAAGAATAAGAAAAACTTATTCAAATCTGTAAAAAGTTTATTTCTGAAGTTGTATGTATGTTTTATTGTATAGAATGATGCACAAAGTTGTATGCAAGTTTTATTGTATATAATGATGTATACAAAGTTGTATGTATGTTTTATTGTATAGAATGATGTACATAGTTGTATGTATGTTTTATTGTATAGAATGATGTACAAAGTTGTATGTATGTTTTATTGTATAGAATGATGTACAAAGTTGTTTGTATGTTTTATTGTATAGAATGATGTACAAAGTTGTATGTATGTTTTATTGTATAGAATGATGTACAAAGTTGCTCAGAAATACGGGAACGTTATGAAGGTAAAATTAAAAGGACTGTCAGCGTTATTCAAAGTGACTCTCAATGCAAAGATGATAATATCAGATTTACAACCTTATAACGTATGAATTAAATATCAATGTTTATAGCTTTGAGAACTGATTATTTTAATTGTCTACAAAAGTGACTTTCGCATTTCAACTGCAATTCAACATATGAATGGCATAAGGTAGAAAAAGGACAACGTCTTTCTTATTATTGATCATATAACGGTTTCAAAGGTACCGTTGTGAATCGGGCATTTCCATCTTTGCATAAAGTCACTAGAAAATGACGTTTAAACCCATTAAACATGTTCAAAGAAAATATAATTTTCATCAAATTTTTTTAAAATTTAAAATGTGGCAGATGGAACACAAACGCCCCCATCTTGAAAATAATAGCAAATTGACTGCATTGCCTAGTGAATAAAGTTAGGTATCCTCTAAAATACTTGTTTGAAACATTCGAGGATATTTGGCTTTTTAGGGGCTCGACAAAAATCTATGTTTAATTTTTGTTTTTTTTAAAAACCGTTCAAACTTGTGTCAAAATTTAAAAAAATAGAATACTTCTCCGACCTTTGAGGACTACCAACTGAGACCCTTCTGGAAAGCCAAACTCTCTTAAACGTTTTGTAAACTTCATTTAGTTAATAACCTTAGGCAGAGAAACATTTTAGCATAATGTAAAAAAACTAACCTATCGAGCAAACAAACTTGAAATAGGGTAAACATACATCTCAGATTTGTCATGTTGCATTTCAAAAATAAAGAAAAACGTGTAATGTTTAAAAAAGAAAGGAAACTATGGAAACATGAAACTTAAACCTGATTTCCTAGGTTGGTCTTGGTATGCAGGATTGGTATGTTCTCTCGAGTTTTGAGGTATTATACTTGTATCTATATAATAAAGCTCTCGTTCATTACGTCAAATTAAAAGTTAAAATATTATATTATTTTTCATCTTTACAACTCCTTCTATTCAGGGCCGGACAGGTTCCAACATTTTCTAGCCGTTTCGTTAACAGTTAGTTCCAACCGTTAAAAAAAATTCAGGAAGTCGTTATTTTTATAGGTTAAACTGGAACGTTCGTTTCAGGAACAATATTTTTCGTTTTTTAAGTAACCGTTAGTTAACGATCTCAATTTCATTAACGGCGTTAACAGTTTATCTTTTTCGTCAATGTCATTAACCGTTTATAGAAATTGAAAGTTTCATGCAAATGCCGTTTTTTACAAACAAATTCGTTTTGTTTTAGTTTTCAACCATTACATTTTTTTTCTAAAACGCCTATCCCGTTTGGATAACAATTAAAAATTAAAAGTTTTACTGTTCCTCTTCCGTTAATTTTTTAAAAATCTCCGTTTCGTTAAAGGAACTTTGCCCATCCCTACTCTTAATAAAATTTCAAAAATGTTTTGAATTTCAAAAAAGTTTTGAATTTCAGAAATGTTTTAAATTTTAATTTATAATATGTAATAGATTAAACTAGCTTTGCCTGCAAGTATTTCCGGTTAGCGGTGAAAAAGTGGTATTTTCTAAATCAATAAATGTAATTATTTATTATTAATTTTTTTCTCCAGGAGATTCAGGAGTTTTCAATGACAGACTTTTCCGTCTCTCATCTTCCATCCAAGGTTCTTAATCGTAAATATAATTAAAATATTTATAGAAACTACGATGTAAGATAAGCATTCTTAATTTTTATTTTCTCCTCTAAAGTTATTTCGTTTTTCTATTATAGGGTAGGAATAAAATATATATTTTAGATTTAGGATTCCCTTAAAATCGGTTTTTGCAACAAGTTTGTATGACAGTATTACAGTAGACAGTATACAGTATACAGTAGACAGTAGACAGTAGACAATAGACAGTAGACAGTAGACAATAGACAATAGACAGTAGACAGTAGACAGTAGACAGTAGACAGTAGACAGTAGACAGTAGACAGTAGACAGTAGACAGTAGACAGTAGACAGTAGACAGTAGACAGTAGATAGTAGATAGTAGACAGTAGCCAGTAGACAGTAGAAAGTAGAAAAGAAGACAGTAGACACTAGAAAGTAGACAGTAGACAGTAGACAGTAGATAGTAGAAAAGAAGACAGTAGACACTAGACAGTAGACAGTTTTAATTGAATTTATAAATTTAAAAAAAGCAAACAAATTAGTTAAGTTTTATATCTTAAATGTTTGCTCTGATGTTGCTGCATTACTTTTGTCTAGTAATTGTTTATTTATTAAAAATTATACTTAAAGAGACTTGAATTGAGACTTTGATTGAGCCTCCATGCAAAGATGACAATGCCTGATTCACAATGATACCTTTGAAACCTTTATCTGATTAGTAATGTGATAGATATTTTCTTTTATAAAGCATTACAAGCCTTTAATTCAGATCATTTCTCTAAGCTTTCCTGAAGTAGAAATGCGCAAGTCACTTTTATACAGAAACCACAATTGAAATCTGTTTTCAAATTTTTAATAGAGAATCACAATCATTCCTTGGAAGGTCAATTGAAATTACACTTACAGTCTCTGAAATCATTATTAACTATGTCGAGCTCAGCTATCTTTTTTAGCTAGAACTATTTAAGAATTCTCTAATTTTTCTTTGCTGAATTGAGGTGCTTTATTTTGAATACTTTAAAGAATTTAAAGACTTTTGACTTTCGAGACTTAGAGACTTTCAAGATTTTAGACTTCTTTCGATGCTTTAGACTTTCAGGACTTAAGCCTTTTGAGTCTTTAGACTTCCAAGACATTAGGCATTTGAGACTTTATACTTTTAAAAATTTAGACTTTCGAGACTTCAGACACTCGAGACTCTTTCAAGACTTTAGACTTTCGAGTCTCAATCTTTATTGGTGACCCTGTTAAATCTGAAATTTCAGTTGGTTGAGATAATTTTTAAATCCACACTTACACAAACGATTTTTTTTTTGCTTTTCGTATTTTAGAGTGTGACACATTTATATATTCCAATTGATTTAGACATTTGACGAATTGTACTCGTTTGACCGGCCCCTGGGCATTATATTCCCTGACGGAGCACTCTGGAAGGATCAGAGAAAATTCGGAGTCAAAACTCTCCGGCAGGTATTAAAAGGACTGTACACGTAATTTCGAGTGATCATCCATTTAAAAAAAAATGTTCATGTTCAATTTACAACGATGCTATTTAAACATTGAGAAAAATATCGTTATTTTCTCTATGAAAAAGATTTTAATTTCTCACACTTTCCTCTTTCTTCTTCAGCGGTATCCTCCAGTTACTTTAATATAGCACCCACTGTTAAAAATAATCAAATTATCAGATTTAAAAAAAATATTTCATTCCTTTTAATATATCAAGTTTCCTTGTGACACATAATGCATGAAGGTCATCTTAAATTAATTCTGACCCATTATCCTCCTCTTCCCGACCCCCTGTAACAATACCTAAAATTATTAGATAGCTGTAATAATCATCAACTCTTCAGTGTAAACCAATTAATTTATTCTTAAATTTTCTAATCCCTAATCTTTTCAACATGATGGTATAAATCTTTGATATTTCCTACACCGATGATTATATGATCTAAATAATTCATAGTTTGAGATATCTTTAAGATCCACGATATTGGTTTACAAAGATTCAGGGATTTGAAAATAAAAGACTCAATATCTGGAGAACCAATATCTCCCCCCCCCACTTCCTCTCTCTTTTTTTCTACAAGAAAAAGTTATCTTTGACGTTTTGTGTGGGAAGAAAGTGATAACAAAGATTTGGCTTCACTTCATTATAATTTGCCAGCATTTTTTCGAGATCAAAATTTTAAAAAAAAAATCTATTCATTCGAGAGAGAGATTGGCTAGGTATTGTAAAGTTCGAAAATTTGCTCTTTGAAAATCTCAAAGATGGATAATTCTGGAGGCTATAACTCTTTAGACTCAATTTTTTTATTTTATACAAAAACCCAGACAAAAAAGTAACAAAAAGTAAAAAAGACTTTGCAACTAACTCAAATTTTCTAATCAATTTATCTGATGGCGTAAAACTTTTATATTTCAAACTTATTGATTTGACAGAATTCATAATTTGAAACATCTAAGGTCTCCAACATTGGGTTGATAAGATATAGGAATTAGAAAATCAGAATTTGTGGCAAATACTTAATTCCTTTGTTTATTAATCTTTTAAACTTGCAAGATAGTTCTGCAGTTAAGTCCTTGAGGCAAAGAGAATTTCTAAAACTTAAAGTTCCGACAACTTATAGACATAGAGAATAGAATATATAGAGAGGAATTAAAAGAATCTCTCGGTATGAATTTTGTAAGTCCCTTTCAGCCTGAAAGGGAGTTCAACGTGTACAAATCATGTAAATGTTCACAAATTATATGCAGTAGAGTACATTAATGCAGTATATGTTCCCTAGACTATTCATTTCAATTTCGAATTTTTTAAACTGTTAATTAAACTTTATAATGAATAGTTGAATAAAAACATCATTTGATTTATAGTTATAACGGAAAATCATCTTTTGTAAAGTGGAAGGCATAGAGTCTATGTGAAATGATCATTGGTCAATTATGAAACCAGCCTATTTCATAATTTGGTTCTCTTTTAACAATAATTTTAGATTTTCTATGAAATGATATTCCAGGGCCCAACAGGTTATATAGCATAAATATGTGAATAACCTGCAGTATGGAAACATTACAACAAAATGGCCGTTTTACACTTTTTTCCAGTAAATTCCTCTCTATATATTATATTCTCTATGCTTATAGATTATTAGTATTATTTTGCTAAATATTTTGCTACAGGGTGTCCCAATAAACATGGGAATTCAGTGACGAATTCGATATCGTCTTTTTAAATAATTCTTTGATTTACTGAGAAAGCTGTAATCTGTATGAGTTTCGTCTGCTATGTTCACAAATTTTGTTTGTTTATGTTTTGACTTTATACGGGTACTTAGTAAAACAAGAAAATTGCAGTATACAAACAGAGTAAACTTGTCCGTCTTCACTGTTCCTCTTGCGGAGTTATTATAGACACATCTTTACAGTATTTTAGCCTTTTCATAAAATAAACTCTAGCAGACATAATAATATTGTGGCTTTTGAAATAAGGTATTACAATGCTAATTCATAACAAAGACGATATCAAATTCGTCACTGAATTCCCATGTTTTTTGGGACACCCTGTATCTCTAGTTGGGAGTGGGTAAATCCAGCCTAGAAGATAAGATGGTTCTAGAATCCAGTAAACTAGTTCAATATATGAATCAGCTCATCAATGGAAAGGTAATCATCAATCATAGAAATTTAACCCTGAAAAAATACTTCTAAACTCACAGAAAAGTGAATATTTCTTTTCTATATAAAAAAAATTGGGCTTCAACTTTTCTTTTTGCAAGCAAGAAAAATCCCATTTAAAGGGACTGTCAGCGTAATTCATTGACTCTCCATTTAAAGAAGGGCTTACTTGATTAACAAAATTAACCTGTCAGTGTAAAATCATTCCTGTTTTTTCAGACAGAAAAACGACGATATCTTTCTCATAAATGCTCAGATAAAGGTTTTAGAGGATGTTATCTAAAGTCCAGCTTTTTAAACGAGGAGTGAATAGAATTTACTTCACAGTCCCTTTAAAACGTTGAATTTAGTTGGATTTTTACTAATTCTACAATACAATTTAGCCAAAAAAAAACAGAAATAAGACGTTGACATGTTGCGCGAGAGATCGCTACCTGTGGATCACTGTGAAACTGTAATGTTTAGTGGAAAACAATGCATCAAAATCAGAAAAAAAAGAATATTTGTTAAGAGCGGTGTTGTGGCCATGTCGGACTTTTTTGATCTTCCTTCCCTCAATATTATATGGGGGTTGATCAACTCTTCCAGGTTCGAATATACAGATCAAAAACTTAAGGCAGGACTTAGCAATAATCATAGATAATAAAGCTATTCCCTCATATATATATATATATATATATATATATATATATAACTATAAAGCAATAATCAGAACAGCTTCTCAGTTTTTATATATATATATATATATATATGTATGTATATATTATATATGTAAGCTTTAGATGGCCAAACGGCTGGACCCAAATGGGTTGCCATTTTTTAGTGTTTTAGGCAGTACCCTATGGGGGAAGATAGGCTACAAAAATGAGTCACTTTTGAAGAGAAACCGCAATCGAAAACAATCCATTTTCCAATTATAAAAATTAATAAATAACTAATTATTAATTAATATTAATTAATGGGAGCATACCTGAGATACTACTTTATACAAAATTTCATATATATAGATTTTTTGACACAGTTTTTTATTAATTTCTCGAGACAGGAACAGCAGGTAGATGTCTTAAACGTAGCGTTTTATCTTACACCCCCTTTCATTTTTCCTTAACGTGTCCCTTTAAAGGCAGCTTTTATTTCCTTTAATCACTTTTCCCACTGAAACTTTTTTTTACTAATTATTAGTAATTTTTACACAAACCCGATCATATTATTGCTTCAAATCGTTCAGGAACAAATTCAACTAATCAACAAGGAAAATTAAATAAATCAGTTCTCAGGTTTTACCAAATTTAGCACGTATTTGTGCTTTTAGTTTGTAATTTGTAGTACATGGTTTTCAAACTATGTTTTTACTTTTTATTGAAAAAGTAATAAAATGTATCAAAACACGTTCATGGAGATTCAGGAGACGTAAAATTATTTCCGGTTTTTACTACAGTGGTATGAAACTCGTCTAACAGCAAACATATCGACACATTCTGCTGTCACAATTTTGTAGTTGCATCATGAATTCATTTCGTTGATTTCTTCTCTATCATTTCTTTCTTTAAAAGACTAATACTTTAATTTTAAATGGTTTTTTATTTAAAAATGGCCTTCTGTTCATGCACCCGATTCATAACGGTGCTCTTAGAACCTTTATCAGATCAATATTGTGCAAGAAATTGCCATTTTCCTGGCTTACAATGTGTTTAATTCTCCTATTTATTTAGAAACAATGGTTTAAATTACCCCATCAAGCATATCTTCTTAAATCTTGCTGTTAGGAACCGTTGTGAATCGTATCTGCTGACTTATAAATGGAGGATCACTTAAAATTACGTCTACACTCTACAGTCTCTTTAAGCGTGCCATGAAAAAAATTTCTGATCGAACTGTACATATATTATATTATAATAAAAGGGTAAACTGGTTAACCTAACATTTCTTATAGTAGCTTAATATTTAGGGGTTGCACTGTATTTGAAGGTAAATGAAGTCGAAATGCATTATATACTGTGCAATTAATTAGTTTGAAAAGTTTCTTCTGACTCTTAAGTTAATATAATTTTAGCTTGTAATACCTTCATTCCATTGAAACACTGTAATATTAAAATGCAAAAAAACAAAAAGGAATAAATCTTTGCCACAAAGTTATGCATAAAACCCCTATTTTCAACCCAATGTCTTAGATATTAGATATTTCAAACTATGAATTCGGTTAGGTCAAACAATCTAAGCTAGAAATATCAAAGTTTTATAGCATCAGATTGCAAAGATATGAGGATTTGAAAAATTTAGTTGGTGGCAAAGACTCAATTCCTTTGTTTAAGAGTAAATAAACATTTTTTTTACTGTGATTTATTTTCAATTTTAGTTTACTATGGAGAGTACAATTGGGCCTTTAGGTAAAAATTTTTATTAAACCTCAAAAACTCTGAAAAATTTAATCGATCCTTTATTTGGTAATAATGCTAAATTTAAGAGTGACCCACTCTCAAACAATTTTAAATTTTTATGTAATAAAATTTGTTGGAGCACCGGCATCAAATTCAGAATCATTCGTTCAAGTTTTGTTGAATGATTCTGCTAAGGTGAATTTGATGCTCCAACAAATTTTTTTAAATGAAAATTTGAAATGTCTTAGAGTGCAAAAAACAGAGAATAATCTTGACTTGAAAATGTGCTCTAATCTTTAGTTTTTAATTTTTGAAGGGGTCGTTTAAGTCACATTTTGTCGTTGGATGCTTGTGTTTGGCCTGAAACTATGTCGAATGTCCAAAATTTCCTTTCTGTTAACTTTCAAAAATCTAAAAAAAACAGAGAAAAAAAAATAAATATCCTGAGAAATTATAATAATACATACTTAATTAGATTACTTTATGTTTATCTTTCAAAATATTTCTTTAATACCATGCAAAAAAATTGCCTATATCTGGTGTTCGTAACCATGGGACCAGGATTGCTTCAACCTCTCCTTACAGGTTTCTCTTCTTACAATTCTGGTTTAAGGACTGCGTATACACTTTGGAATACAGAAAGCCCACAAGAAAAATCTACAGGGGTTCAGATGTATGTAAATATTTTTTTTTTCTGAAACAATATTGGATGGCTGAAGTTAAAAGAGAGATTTTTGAATATTTGACATAGTTGTTCATAGTTGTACAAATTTGTACATAGTTGTAAATAGTTGTACACCAAACAGAAGACTAGTAAGACAAAAACCATTAAAAGGGCTTAAAAACAGGACACCCTGTAGGTAGATTTTTTTCTCCATTTTTACATATTTTTAATTCATGAGAAAACAAAACAAAAATTGCCGATTTTCATGTTTTTATTATTTGATTTAAAAAAACATTAAATCGAAAATTACTTTAATTTGGGGGGGTCTTCTGAGGTACCGCAAAAAAATTTAACTCAATCATGACCCAGCATGTAAATTCTACGATCTGAATATTACAGTTGCGATGAGATCCTTGAAATATGTTCCTCCCTTCTCATTTATTTACTCCGATATCAAGAATAATATGGATAAATTCAAACTATTTATCAGAAACCTAGGTAACTATACCCACATACATCCAGACTGCTATGAAAGATCCTTTTGAAAAGTACCTAACATCTTCAGAATTTTTGTAATTCCTATGATTTCTGGTCCTCACTGTAATTAAGTTAAATTAGTCTACAGGGTTACCCAAAAGAAAAAGCCTGTAAAGACAACTTGAAAGTTTTAAAATATGATAATTTTAAAGCTAAATTTATACTTATACCTAGAATATAGTCTTTTCATGACATACTTAATAATTTCACAACAAAAGAAAGACTTTTACAGCAGCAGGAAATCATTAATATAAAGAAACAAACAGTATGAATTTCGTACAGTCGTCTCTGAAGTCTCAACCTAGATAAATTTGTATTTAATTTTTAGTGAACTCGGAAACAGAGAGGTTCCGTGAAGATGAAGAACTGAAGGGTTATATAGATGCATTCTTAACGGAGAAAAACAAGGTAATATTTAATATCATCGAGAGAGAAAACATCTTAAAAGGACAGCTAACGTAATTTAAACTGACCCTCTACTCTTATTTCGCGAAATTTTTGTTTTTTCTCTTGAAACAGATAACAGCGAAATTTCTCGAAAAAACGAAAAATGCAAAATTTTCGCGAAACGATTAGCTCTTTTTTGCTAGAAACCATAGCTTTACCTAGCTCAGCTACCCATCACTATTTATTACCTCCAAGCTGAGCTACAAGAAGGAGAAAAATAACAAATACCCCTTGGTCTCATTTATGACGAAAAAAATACTATTTTTTTCGTTTGTTTTCCCTGGTTTGTTTTCCTCATGTTTTCTCGTATTGTTTTACATATATTTGATTTCCGGCTCAATTTCATGTATGTTGGGTTTACCAGTAAATATAAGGAAAAACAATAAAGTCTACAAAAAAACATGATTATTTAGATTAGTATGCTTACGGGTTAAAAGTTTTCCAAAGTTTTGTTCATATATATTTATGTAAATACTCTAAGAACAAATACACCCAACTGTAATTGTAGAAAAGAGGTTTTGTCTTCTACGGGGAGAATATTTGTCAAAGTCAATTATATATAGAGCTGAAGTAATATCAAAAATTTGTATAATAAAGCTCTTCACTCATATATATTTATTTGTATATATATAATTTGTTGAGGGAACCATGGGTGCCCGGGCAGTAACATATACTTAAAAAATTAACATTTTTTTTAAAAATAAAACTTTTTTTTCAAAATTAAATTTTAAAAAATTGCATGGGGAACGCCGGGCACTTCAGCTAGTATATAATATATTTTATAAATGTTAGCAATAGTTGGCCAAACGGATGGACCAAATGAGCTGAATTTTTTGTTTGAGGGAACCTTTGAGTTAGTTGAATCGTTATTTACGTAATTTTTCCATAACAAGATTGTAAATTTGTCAGTTATCAAAAACAGTTTGGAATTAAATAATATATATATATATATATATATATGTATAAAAACAGTGATCATATATTTATAATTCTAGATATAATTGAAATTTCTCGACTTTTAGAGAAAAGTAAAGAAATTTTTATAAAATTTATAGGACGCTTGAAAGACCGCCATCGCTGTTTCTAAAAGAGTCCTAACTTTTAAATTTATTAAGCTCATGTTAAAATGCACATTTTTAGAAAGCCATCAAAAAAAATTATTTTTTAAATTTTCCGACCTTTTATTGGGGATAATTAAAACCCTGTAGCACCCTGAACATTAAAGTTAGCGGTATCATTTATTTATCTTTAATGAACTGCCCTTGAATATTTGGCATTGAAAATGTATTGCAATTCCACAGGGGAAGGAGGGGCTAAACAAAAATTTAGACCCCCCCCCCCTGGCCTTTAATGGGTTAATTTATGATAAGTATCTTTCATTTATTATCAAATCATCTACTTTTATCTGTAAAAATTGACATTGATTAAAAATCTGTGTTTCCATTTATCAAATTAAGGGGATTTATTTTACAAAACATTTGTAAAACTGTTTATATGGTTATTATGTGTACTCATATTTACACTGTTCACTGTACACTGTACACTGTACACTGTACACTGTACACTGTACACTGTACACTGTACACTGTACACTGTACACTGTACACTGTACACTGTACACTGTACACGGTACACAGTACACTGTTCTCTGTACAGGTGGAAGCGGTACAATGAGCAAGACATTAGCCTACGCTGTTCTGTACTGTACACTCTATCCTCAAGTGGCGGAGAAGGTATTCCCGCATTTTTAATAAATTTATTTCAAAAAGGGAACTTGCCACAAACACTGATTTTAAATCCATATATTTCTGCTGAGCTGCTAGTTGATATCCGATGTTATAGACCTTAAATATTTTAAACTATTGTTTCTGTTGAATTAAAGAGTTTGAAATATCACAGGTTTACCACTGCATAAGTTTAACTAGAAGGGGATTTTTTATTTGGCGTACCGTCCCGTCTTGCTTGTTTGTGTACCGTACTGTAAATGTACAGCTTGCTCTAGTAGGTTCGAAGTCGGCCCGGCACTTGAAATGAACCGGAGTTTCCAGTGCTACATTTAGGTTACAAAGATATAATATAGGGATTATAAAATTTGAGTTTATGGTAAGAACCTAGTTATTTTGTTCAAATAGTTTAAAATAAATCCTTCAAGGCACCCTACTTTGTTCTTCTTAATAGGTAGTGAAAGAATTGGACGAACATACATCACATCTTCCAGTTATAACACTCGGTATGTTAAAAACTCGTCTAATTTGTGACTTTCTCCAATAAGAGTTTATTTTCTGAAGTCGAAAAAAAAATGTCTTCCAACATTGCGTGAATAATTAATTGATTAATTGATTAATGATTCATTAATAAATTAATTTATTAAATTCTTGTTAAATTAATTGATAAATAGATTAATTGTTAAAACTTATCAATTGATTAATTAATTAATTGATTAATTGATTTATTAGTTAATAGATTGGTTGAAAATAAATTAATTGATTACCTGATTAATTGATTAATTGATTAATTAATTTATTGATTAATTGATAATTGATTAATTAATTTATTATTAAATTGATTAATTGATTAATTGATTAATTGATTAATTGATTAATTGATTAATTGATTAATTGATTAATTGATTAATTGATTAATTGATTAATTGATTAATTGATTAATTGATTAATTGATTAATAAATCAATAGATTAATTGATTAATTGATTAATCGATTAATTGATTAATTCATTAATTGATTAACTGATTAATTGATTGACTGATTAAGCATCAAGAAATGAGCTTGTATACACTGAGGCTACTATTACTGAGATCTCGAGGTTAGCCTCTGTTCTTCCCATTGCCCCTCCTCGGAAGGTATCTATCTATCTATATAAATTGTCTGTCTGTTTCTTTGTATTTCCGATCATAATGCATTAACCCATTGGCTAGCATCTATTAAGCCTTTGGAATTTTCTTAGTTTGTTTTAAGAATTGTAACTTTGTAAGTGGACTTTTACGGGGAATTTTTGATTTGTGGCAAATTCGGTTTTTTATAAAAAGTAATTTTTTGCTCCATTTTTTGAGTTTTGGAGGACATTACGCAAAAAATATGAATTCTCTCAATCTACAAGCTCTACAGTAGCAAATTCAGCGTAGCTCTTCTTCGCTAGGCAAATTGAAAAAAACTGAATGTAATCAGCTGTTCCTGGCCAGGAAGTTGAAAATGTAAGCCAGAAGAGCGTCATTTAGACAAGGAATAGAGTAGCAGACATTATGACGAGCTTGTATAGTAGAGAGAATTGATATATTATATCTCTGTTTGCTCCCTTCATATATTTGCCTTTATTGGTGAACTCAAGAATCATGTGGATGTGCTAAGCTTGGTTTTAAAGTTCTAAGGTTAAAGATTTTATAAGAAAAACTTATTTTCGGGGTAAAACTGGGTTCCAAAAGTATTGAAATTTTTACTTTTATCTTCCTTGTATAGTGGCTCAGGCTTCACTTTATTTTCCCGGCTGAACATTTTACTGTCCCGGCTGAACGTTTTACTCTCCCGGCTGAACATTTTACTGTCCCGGCTGAACATTTTACTGTCCCGGCTGAACATTTTACTGTCCCGGCTGAACGTTTTATTCTCCCGGCTGAACGTTTTATTGTCCTGGCTGAACACTCTACTGTCATGGCTGAACATCTTTTAGCCAGGGCTGCCTACCTTCACTAAGTACAATATATGAGAAATCTTTTGGTTTAGTTGTTTCCTCAATAGTTCGAATCATTAGGAATATTACACGGGCAGCCGTAGTACATTTTAATTACCGAGCCGGGTCAACCATTCTGGTCCCAGTTTGTACTGTATCGCCCGGACATTGGGTAAATAAAGAAGATACTTAAAAGGACTAGCCAGTGCAACAAGGTTGACGCGGTCAGACTTTAGGTTGAATTAAATCAACAATCTTCTGACAATTTTTTTTTTTTTTAAATATGGGCAAAATAAGAAATGCACTTGTTTCACCAGAAATGGTTTCATTGATCAAAAAAACTGCTGATATGCAAGAATTCTCATAAAAATGTTTTCTTCTTTTTCTATTTTCTATTTTCTTATATTTTATTGTAGAAGTTATCATTTCAAGGTTTGTCACGTTGTATTGCGCAGTAAATTTTTATCATATATTGTTGCAGAAATGAATATTTCAGTAATACGTAGTAAAAAGTTATCTTGTTCGTATTACAAACTTGTAATTAACTTTTTTGCACGAATTGTATTTCCTTATAAGAATTGTGCACTTATTTCACATAAAAATGATTTTATTATAATTATTTAATATTACTTTACAGTTATGTGAATATTACGTTACTAAGGGTTCCCAAGATCAATTTTGCGTAGAAAACATCCAGAGCGCAGCATTGTATCGTAAATTGATGCAATGATGTTCATTTCAAGGTGTTTTGCACAGAAAATATTTATCTTTTTTATTTATATTTTTTATTTTTCTAGACAACAGGAGATATAAAAGTTGGAAAATATACACTTCCAAAAGGTAATTTGTTTTTCCTACATTTTTTAAGCAATTGAGTATTTGCTCCAAATATTAATTTTCTAAATCTTTGAAACCTGATATTTCAAACTTGATTATTTAATCTCTATAGCTTTTCAGCCTGATATTCCAAACTTAGATTACTTAATCTTAAAGAATTCATAGTTTGAAGTATCAAAGGAGTACGGCATTGTGTTGCAAAGATATAGGGATTAGACAATTTAACTTTGCGGCAAAAACTCAGTTACTTGGGTTTGTTTCCTTGTCAAACAACGAAACTGAATGGCGTAAATTTTGTTTGCCTACCATGCCTACTGCCTACTCACCCCCACTGATGGTTTCTAAATGTAAAAGTGATAACTTGTGACGCAAAAATATGTCATTAAATTTTAGAGATCTATCAACGTTTTTAAAAAATTCAGCAAAATTTTCAGTTTTACAATTACAAAGAAAAATAGCCGTTTAAAGAGAAAAGCTTAAACTGTTGCAAGATAAGGAGCGCTTCGCTTTCCGACTGAATTCCTAGTTTTTATAAAGCTCTTCTGATGTTTTAGAATATGTTTCTAGAGGTCGGGGGGATCTTCTGTATAATCTGAAACTTAACTTGATTTTTATCACGAAATATTTGATATGAAACGACAAATTGTTCATTATCTGTGAAAAACTGCTGATTTGTATATTATCGATCTTTTATTGGTCAAGAGCAGATTTTTGAAAGTTTCCGAGTTCGGAATTTTAGAGGATTAATAATCAAATTTCAGGCAGAAAAGTAATGTTATCTCATTTATCCTTGATCAGACAAAGGTTTTAAAGTTACCAATGCGAATTGAACAAGCCATGCACTCTATTTACGGAGGACATAGTACCTATACAGACCCCTTAGAAATACCATAGAATTTATAATCAACAAATTTTTTGTTTAAATTTTAATTTTTGTTCAGGAAGTTTAGTTCAGATGAATTTGTACGCTATGCATAGAAATATTGAACACTGGGGGGATCCAGAAGTTTTTAGGTGAATTTATCTACACATAGATCTAGACTTTCATGAAACGTTACAGGATCATTTTTCAAGATTGGGTTGACTTTAAAGTGCGTCAACGCCTTGTCCTTTAATTTTACCATACTTTCTGATTTGAACTGTTTAGTAGCCCTAGATATCTACACTTGTTTGAAGCTTCAGATTTTCAGAAGTAATTGGCAAAATTATCGTCGATTTTTGCATGAGTGCTTGCAACCTTTATAGCATTGTGTGTCCTCTCAATGTTTTTGCATTTCTATCAAATCAACTTCACCCCGGACTAACCAGAGTTAGAGGCATTCGGTTTCTTCTATTTTAAATCCTACGCGTTTTCGTTTATATTTTAACAATCTTTAAACTTACGAATTTGTTTTTTATATGCTTTTTATTCCAAATGTATATGCCAGCAAAAAAGTATTCAAGAACGAATTGGCTCAAACAATATGTTTAATAGGAGAAATTGTAATCGAAAGTCATAGCTTTCTGGAATATTGACAGAACCGATAAATCCACGTGACTTGGATACAGTTGTCGTCATATATATAAAGACATTGAAGACGAGTTTCGATTAAAATTTTTGATTTCTACCAAGCTTTCAATTAGATGGCTACTCATAAACATGGAAAGAAAGCGAAGCTGTAATCAAAACTTAAATGTAAAAGTCGTCTTCATTGTATTGATTCAAAAAATTATTATATTTATTTTGTTTGTTTTATATTTATTTTGTTTTAGACCAGAGAGGTTTTTGAAAGACGGTAAATTTGTGCAGGTATTAGCCAAAAAATAGTTTTACGTTTTTTTCCACAAACAAAATTATCATTTCAGGACGAATGGGTTCAGCCGTTCGGGTATGGGAAGCGTAAATGTATAGGAGAGTCAGTTGCAAGGAAAGCTCACTATATCGATCTTATCCAATTTTTTTATCAGTTTTCTCCTCTTTATATTTATGATAGAGGCTGCTAGGCTTTCAAGTACTATTATTTCAAGAAAGTACTATTATAAAAAATTAAATAGGGGAAACAATTATTAAAGTTTTGCTAAGAATAATGATGATTCAGATTAAAGTTAACATTTTAAAATTATCATGTCTTACCGATTAATAGATAAGCTGATTTGATAAAAAACCTGATTGATTGATTGCTTTTAGAAACAATACCTTTCTGATGTTCTCTAATATGATGAGGTAATTAAAATAAGAGAAATTGAAATAAAAGAAATTGAAATAAGAGAAATGAGTGTCATTTAAACTTTATAAATGGATGGAGAGTCATTTAAACTTTATAAATGGATGGAGAGACATTTAAACTTTATAAATGGATGGAGAGTCATTTAAACTTTATAAATTAATGGAGAGACATTTAAACTTTATAAACGGATGGAGAGACATTTAAACTTTGTAAATGGATGGAGAGTCATTTAAACTTTATAAATGGATGGAGGAGAGTCATTTAAACTTTATAAATGGATGGAGAGTCATTTAAACTTTATAAATTGATGGAGAGACATTTAAACTTTATAAATGGATGGAGAGACATTTAAACTTTACAAATGGATGGAGAGTCATTTGAACTTTATAAATGGATGGAGAGTCATTTAAACTTTATAAATGGATGGAGAGTCATTTAAACTTTATAAATGGATGGAGAGTCATTTAAACTTTATAATTGGATGGAGAGTCATTTAAACTTTATAAATGGATGGGGGAGAGTCATTTAAACTTTATAAATGGATGGAGAGTCATTTAAACTTTATACATGGATGGAGGAGAGTCATTTAAACTTTATAAATGGATTGAGATTCATTTAAATTTTATAAATGGATGGAGGAGAGTCATTTAAACTTTATAAATGGATGGAGAGTCTTTTTAAATTTATAAATGGATGGAGAGTAATTTAAACTTTATAAATAGATGGAGAGTCATTTAAAATTTATAAATGGATGGAGAGTCATTTAAACTTTTCAGATGGATGGAGAGTAATTTAAAATTTATAAACGGATGGAGGGTAATTTAAACTTATGTCACAGTTCCTTAATAGAACTTACAGACAAGGCAATTCAATATCTTTATGAAGAAGAATGATATTTTCTAAACTTTTTATTTTTAGAAATTTCAAATTTTCTCCTTCCCCCTCCCATCCTCTCCCATCTACTGAACCAGTGGGAGGACTAACAATAGGTAAACTTTTCATATTTGGAAACATTCCCTTTAGCTTGAATTTTAACAATTCTAAGCAAAGAAAAAGAATTGAGTCTTTGCCACAAACTCGTATTTTCTAATCCTGATATCTTTGCACCCCAATGTCATAGATATTTTTAACTATGAATTCTGTGGCAATTATCTTATTTTTTACTATTTCTTTTTTCTTTTAATCCATTAGTTAGAGTGGAAAATAATTAAAGGTATTGAATCTTTGCAACAAACTCGGATTTGTAATCCCTATATTTTGCAATCCAATGTTGACATGAACTATTTCAAACTATGAATTATGTTAGATCAAATCAGCTAAGTTTTAAATATCAATAGTCTACACAAAAATAGTGGGATTTGTACATTTGAATTTGTGGTAAAAACTCAGTTCCTTTGTATTGGATAGCCTGTTAGTGAATAGTTTAAAATTTTATTAAAAAATATTTGAGTAAAAGAATTTTTTAAAGAAAATAAACTGCAAAAAGTCTTTAATATCTAAGACAGTGTATTGGAAGAAGGCATTCAAAACTATTCACCAAGTCTCATGTTTCGTGAAACCCCCTGTACTAAACTTGAAATCCAATGGACAAACTTTAAAAATACGAATTTAACTTAGATATCTAAATCCTGGCTCTGTTTGTTTCTAAAATATTTATTTATAAACTTTGTAGATGCTATTTGCAGTAAAAATCAGAAACAAAAATTTTAACGATTTTGTTTTTTTTTCTTTAATTTTATTAAGATTTTGTATTTTTTTATAACGTTTTTCTGATAATGTTCAAAGAACAATTTATATATAAAAATTCAAAATTAAAAAATTCTAAATCATAATCTCCCATTATTTATCAAAAGAAGGAATAAATACGACAATCATCTGGTATTAGTGTACTACTGTATCATACATACATAAAAAGTTATTTACATATTTTAGAATGGAAAGGCTAAAATTAAGTATTCAGTATACAATCTTGGCCATGCGTCATCAATTCAATTTTAACTCTTCTTTTTGAAAAGCTATAGAGAAGAAATTTCGTATAAATTTTATATTTCCTAATGTCTAAATTGTGGTCAACTGTCATACTTAATGGGACACACTTTATTGCTTAAATTTTAAATATTTTGAATAAATGTTGTTTAGGGCCCCAGGAGTACTCGGTGCTGGTAGAATCCAAAGTGAATAAATACTAAAGTGGACCAAACTCATAGTTGGATGACGACATTTTATGTCCCAAGTATGTCTTTAGTCTATTTTTTCTAGTCTTTACTTTCCAAACGAAATCTTTTCATGAAATTATTTCCAAACCAAATTAAACCTTATGGCCCAACCTGTCGTCGTTCCCTTAGTCTGTTCCACTTTAGTATTTATTCACTTTGGGTAGAATCTAGATTATAGATGGAAGAATAGAAATGTCGTCTAAATGAACGACACAGGATTACCCAAAAAAAATTGAGACTTTTAAAAAACAGCTGTTCAGAATGTATTCGAACTTGATTCTTCATTTGCCAAATCATGAAATACATCATAAATAGAAAATTTTTATGGCTAAGCACATAATTCAAGTGCATAGGATCGGTATATTCCAAGAGTTCTATTAGTTTCAATAGTTTTGATAGTTTTAATAGTTTTGATAGTTTTGATAGTTTTATTAGTTTTAATAGTTTCAATAATTTCAATAGTTTCAATAGTTTCAATAGTTTCAATAGTTTTTTCAATAGTTTCAATAGTTTCAATAGTTTCAATAGTTTTTATAGTTTCGATAGTTTCAATAGTTATAATAGTTTACTATAAATATCTCATCTTCTATGGGTAACTCTTGTGTATTGCGACAGTCAGTAATGAGTCCAAAGTTTCATATTAAATTCCTCAAGTTTCGGTAGTTCCAAATTGTGGTCTGCCTTTCTTCGCGCTTTCAAGATTTCCACAATGCATATATTACATTTTGTTTAAATTTTTATTTAAGAAACAAGTCGTACCTCAAACATTATGTTTATTGTTTATTAGGTTTAAGAAAAAAAGTAATATTTTAGTTTTTGTTTTTATCTGGAAAAATGCATTTTGCTTTATTTTTAACTGAATGAAAAAGTATATCAAAGATATGTTTTCCAATTCCTAATTCAATAACTTAAACAAATTAACAAAACTTACAAAATTTACAACATTTCTTGGAAATGATTCTCTACGTCATAGATTTCATTAACAATTTAAATGGATTTAATTTGTCTCGAGTAAACAACTATTTAGGAATATGTATATCAAAGTCTTTGATGTATATAAGCCGAAGCCGTCTCTATAGCTTTATCATGTATATAATCTCAATGAGAAATATAATAAACTTTAAATCTTAGATCTTCGACTAGGTGAGAATTAAAAATTAAATCTTCTGTTTTTGGGTTTAATCAGAAAAATAAAAAACCGCAGTTTGTAGTCTTTAGTTTATCATTAAAAAAGAATAAGAATGTCGTCTTACTTTTTCATCGTCTTTCCCCCAACAACGCCTTGGACCAAAAGATGTTATTATGTATCATTATAATATTGGAATAGCTAACTCAAAACAGTGGTAGGCGATTATATCAATATAAAAAAGAGGATTTTTGATTTTGATTTTGATATGTGAAACAGCATGGATACACATAAACACCGCAGTTAATAAAAGCTTTCAAATTTAAAAAACCTTCTCCTTGTTTACCTAAACTTCTAATTCGGAAAAAGCTTGCTAATAATCAATACTTGAACTAAAAAGTCGTCTTCATTTTATTGATATAATCGCCTACCACTGTAAGAAAAGAGTAATATTTTACAATGGAACGAAATGGTTTGCGCAATTCGCGCAATAAGGGATGTAAAATTAACAAAGAGTTAAGCCTTTTTTAGAAGCAAAAGAAACTATAAAAAAATGAAAATATTAAAGTCGGGTCCTAACCCNAATGAGCAGTTGTGTATAATAAATCTCTGATCTATAAAGATTAGAGCAGCAGAGGAACCAAAGAAAAACTCCGATTACGGGTCTAATATATACTGGAGCAAAAACTAGAATTTAATCAATTCCTTGTTCACGATTCGAGGTGTAGATCTGAATCTACAAACATAACTGTTACGCTTACAGGATGTCCCACGAAACATAGTTTGATTTGTGAACTTCAGTCGTCAACCTACATGTATGATTCTTGAAACAATAACAACAAACATATCTTTCCAAAATTCTGAACGAAAAATCGGCTTTTTCTCCGGCCACAGTTGTCTTTGAAAAGTAAAACTATTACCAATCGACAGCGAATAGGCTGTTTAGTTTACCCTAAAATTACCCAAATAAGTGAACGGTCCCTTTAACGTTTACTGCTATTACACTTCACAATACGTTGACGCTGGACGAAGATATAATGGGTGTCCCACATCATATTAGATCGTTTAATTTCGTTTTTCGAGACTAAATTAAAAGATGAATAGTATAAGGCTAATATAAAAATTTATGCTCAAAGTATTGTGTGCGTAATTTGGATCTATAGCTTGGAGATAATCCAATTTAAAATGGGACACTCTGTAAGCCTTAGCGATTTTTTGAAAACTAATTCCTTATAACAAACGATTTCGTTAAGGCTTAGCAAATTTGTTTCAGGGTCAATACTCACTATTTTTCACAATTTCTTGAAGAAAAAAATAATCAAATTATGAATTGTGTTAGACTTTAAAGAAGGCCAAGAACCCTGAATGTTTAAAACTGATGTCCAAATCTACTTTATTGACTAAGATTCAAACTCATTGTATTTTTTGTTTAGTTTTAGTTTTTTTTTAAATTTTTATATTTGAAGGAACCGAGTTTCTGTTAAAAATTCAAATCTTCTATCTCCTTTAAAAGAGTATAATTCCGTCGAATATCTAATTTTGATATTAAACCCTTTAAAGGATGGTGGTGTCAATCTATGTAAAATAACAAAAAATGTTTTCGGCTATTTTAGATTTTTTTACACGGACCTTTTAACCGTCCTGTAATCTACCCTTTGCGTTTAAAAAAAACTTTTAAATTACTGTAATTGAAATTATCACTTTTAATTGAGAAAAGCACTTCTACAGTTCAAATAAAGATATCTTGTATAATGTATTTTTCTGTAGTATAGTATATATATGTAGTCCTAAAATTTAGATTAAATGAATAAAGAAGTTTGCTTGCAACTGTCTGAGAATATAAAGAAGTTTTCTTGAAGGTTTACTGCAGGGGAATTACAAACCTGAGTTTTCAATTAGATCAATACGAGCTCGAACATATCCTGGTTTTGTTAAGGGTTTTAAATAAAACTGCATGAAAATATTATAGTTTTTTAAACCCACTCAAGGTACTAATGCAAGGAAAGTTATTTCAGAGGTGTACGCATTTTTTGTACTGCGGTGTACTGTCTTTGGGCGGTAATGTAAACACAAGACGGATGTCGAAGCCTGACATGGGATCCATCTTTCACATAAAAGATCAATGAAATATTCTGGTCATAGGAAACTATTATGTGAATTATCAAGATTATTAAAATTAAATGATTTTAACCTTCTCGGTACTAAACGAACACTGATGCATCTATTCTTGTTTACAAATTCCGCCCAGAGCCCAAAACTTAAGAAAGGGTATCGTTATGTAAACCAGTTTTAAAGCCCGGGTTTCACGAATGGGGTTAGGCAGTTTTTCAAATACCATTATTTTTGTTATGAAATATTATTTTATTCAGTTTGTTTATATTCTCAATTTTTTTCGAATCTCTTAAATCAAAATCTACAAATGTCAAGACCCCAAAAAGGAAACTCGGGAGTTATGTTCAACGATACTCTTTTAAATTTCAGACTCTGAGAGAGTATACGCGACCGCAATTAACTTTCCTTGCATTAGTATACCTTGAACCCACTAAAAGTTCTAAAAATACCAAAAACCAAGTCGTAATCACGGATTCTTGTTTTTTTAAATTGTTCACTTTTTGCGAAGCACATTTTTACTGCAGGGGTTTAAAATATTTCATTTTCGAAAATTCTGATATTGGCGTCAATTTGATTTTAAGTAACCGTTCATTAACAGAATTACTGATTCACAACGGTACCCTTTTAATAGTTATCTGAGTAGCAGATATCGTTGCTTTTCTTTCTTGAAAAATATGAACTGTCCATCTCTTCCCTTTCTCCTTTCTTCCTTTCCTCTGCTTTATTTCAAAATAAAATTCGTCTTTGAAATTTGAATGTCATAGATATACGTATAATTCTTGAAACAATTTCATGTTTCGTGGGACACCCGTAGTTTGCTAACGGTATAGTTGATCAATATATATGTGATTCAAATAAGCATGCTAAAAAAAATTACAATATATATTTTTTTTTCTTTAAAAGCACTTATATACGTTTTTTTATGGAAAATAAAAAGCATCACTACCAATTAATGAAGAAATTTTAATTTTAATGTTTTGTACTCCATTTAATTGTTTTTATTTCACGAGAAATACAAATTGTTTGTGCTACAAACTCAATGAAGGTGTAAACTTTCGATATTTTAAATTTAGAATATTTGATACTAGCTGGGGAACCCAGCTCTGCTCAGGTTATTAATTTACTCCCACTATTTCTCCGCACTTGAACGATTTTACCAAGAAACTAAATTTTCCGCTCAACTTAGTTACAATCTCAAAACCAAGCTGAGAACTATATTCCCGAGGTTCTCCCGGGATAACCTATCAAAAGTTGAGGCAAATCGGTCCAGGGACTCCTAAGTTATGATCGGAGAAACTAACAGAGATTACAACTTAATCTATTTATAGATAGCAGACAGAAGTCATAATTTGAAATATTGAAGATCATGACTTAAATTAATAACTTCATACCCTCCTTCCTTCCCTCCATCCCTCTCTTCCTCCTTTCCTCCTTTCCTTTCCTCTCTTTTTGGCCTCTTTCCTTCCTCCTCCCCCTCACTCCCTTCTCTTTCCTCCCTCCCCCTCCTTCCTCCCCAGATTCCATTCCTCCCTTAAAACCATTAAATTGTTGATGTTATATTATTTATATTAGAACGTGAGCTCTGTTAAAAGTCTGGGGATTAAGGCCGGATTCTAATCCCAACCTTCCTTTCAAGCATCACAAACTTGATCATAATCCTCAACATTTGTTAAACACGATCCTCTAGATCCCGAGCAATGGAAGAAGTTTAAAACCCGACAAGGCAAATTTCGACTAGTTCGAAAGTATATCTATTGCAGTTCGATAGGAATTGTTTAAATCTCATTCAAA